TGTGGCCCCTTCCTATCTTGACTTTGCGCCCGGTCTGGCCAAAGCGTTTCTGTACCCTCGAGTGGGGTATGTCCCTAAAGTCCCCTCATCAGCACCACAGCCCATCGTACTTCAGGCCTTCAGTCCTCCTCCCTTCGGGGAACCAAACCAGCAGAAGCTTAATTGTATGTGTCCAGTGCGAGCACTGGATGCATACGTCCACAGAGCTGCCCTGTGGAGGAGGGCGGACCAGTTGCTTGTTTGCTACGGTTCCCCTAAGAGAGGTCTTCCAGCAACTAAACAGACCCTCAGTCGGTGGACCATCTCCATCATCTCCATCTGTTATGAGTCCTCTGATCTCGCCGTTAGGGGTCAAGGCTCACTCGACTCCAGCCTCTAAAGCCTCTAAGGCTTTTTTAGCGGGTGTGCCTGTCCCCTTTGTTAGGTTTTATGGTCTAGACTTGCGAGCCACTCCTGGCTCTTCTGTCCTCTCGCCCTAGCTGTGCAATCTTCCACACTAGGCAGAGACTTAGAAGTCTGGCGGCGTGGGCATTCTCGTTCCCCTAGCGTTTTCCGACACAGCTCAAGTTCCTGAAGAGGAATGACAGACAACAATAAATATGACTGACACACACAGAGCGCTTCGCTGAATGACAGAAAGCTGACGCTGGCTCCGCCGTATGTGCTTTTATAGCTTCCTGGTCATGACGTCACCCGCCCGTGACATCCCGCTCAGCTATTGGACTGATTTCACATGTGATTCAGAGCGTGGTCACAGAAGGCGTTCCCCTAGCGTTTTCCGACGCAGCGTCTCATTCCCGCGAGGAACCAGGGTTACATACGTAACCTGAGACGATATATTGTGTAAATATTAATCTTACTATCTGATGCAAATTTGCTTACATATTTGTTTAGTTTTTTCTGAAAACGACAATACAGGAAAACAAAGGTATTAAGAAAAAGGCTTAATGTAGTGTAATAACTCTCTTATCATCACAGGTCATTTAGTGTGACGTGGCATGTGGCCAAGTATGGTGACCCATACTCGGAATTAGTGCTCTGCATTTATCCCATCCAAAGTGCACACACACAGCAGTGAACACACACACACACCGTGGACACACACCCGGAGCAGTGGGCAGCCATTTTTGCTGCGGCACCCGGGTAGCAGTTAGGGGTTCGGTGCCTTGCTCAAGGGCACCTCAGTCGTGGTATTGAAGGTGGGAGAGAGAGCGCTGTACATTCACTCCCCCCACCGACAACCCCTGCCGGTACGAGACTCCTTTGGGTTACGAGTCCGACTCTCTAACCATTAGGCCACGACTTCACCACGATTTACATCTTGTATCTTCTCCAATTTCCTAGTTTTTAGTGCTTTTAAGCATAATATCATATATCAAAAACGTATTTTGTGTTTGCACAATCTTTTAGAAAGCAGTTTATGCAGTTTTATACATGAGGCCCTGGGTCTGAAGGCTATGGAGTTGTCAAATCCAACTAACACATTTCAGCTTTAAGAGCATTAGTGAAATAAGCCTGTGTACAAGAGCTGATGAGCGAAATGTCAGTTCTTTCATGCTGCTTGTTTGTTTGTAATTGTACTTTTCTTTCAGACATAACGTGAAAGCAATACTGAAATATTTCTACTCCAAATGTTAAAAAGATTAATCTCATTACATCCTTTTATTTTTTATTTGCCCTCAATGAAATTGTGAATTTGCAGTAAATTCAGATATAAAGGACAGTACATACAATCATGGCTTCACAGCTAATCATTTCTAACATTGGCTACTCACGTAATGCTAATTCACAAACTCACTGGAGTCAAACCCTTAGCTGCTATCTATACGACTGTGATTTTGAGGCAGGATTGGTATATTTAAATAATGTCTTTGTCACCTCTTCAAGCACCACAGGGCTGAAATCACTCTGAATGAGCATTAGTCAAAGACCACTCTCAGCAAACATAAGTAGCAGTCTCTTGTAGCATTACATCAGCTTCATGAATAACTGACAGGTCAGGGTTGAATAATGCACAGCATCCACTTATATTTAATATAATTTTTCATTTAATTTAATTAAATAAACATTTTTATCTATGTAATTCTACATATAATCAATATGCTCAACCAATGCTTAATGACATTTTTGCAAAATGATACTATGCTGCTTCTTGCACGTTTCCCAACACTTTTAAAGTGAAATGTCCAGTGAGCGCAGTTAAAGGCGTGTTTACCTGAAACAGATGAACGTTAATCTGTTATCATTTTATTACGTTGATTGTTGAATGTTTCACAGCAGTTTGGAAATGAAATGTATGGTGACTTGCGATAAAATAATAATGCTCTGAAAATAACATACCACCTACAATAAACTACTGTAAGAAAAAGTGATGAAGACGATGAAGATCTCGATGAAGATGTTTATTGCAGAATAGCAGTGACTAAGTACATGTAGTACCTTGGGTTCAACGGAGTCAGAATGAACCTCGAGCATCCTACACAAACATTTTATACTCTATTAAGTTCATCTTCCCGCTTCATCTTCCCGCATGTAAATGAAGTTCCCTTTCAAGGGAACGTCGAACTGCGTCCTCTAGGGGTCGCTATGGGGACGCCTCGTCGTGACCCGTGTCTGAAGCATACATTGAAAAAACACCAACAACACGTTGGCCGGCGACAGCCCATGACATCACTACTGGTGCGATTATAGTATAAATAGGCGCTGGGAGAACATGTCATTCTCTTCTTCGTCTTCACTGACCGTTTTGTTTTAAGCGTGCATTTCCGTGGTAAGAGCGATCTATATTCCTATCGTTATGGCGAGCACTAGCAAAGCGTTTAGAGGGTGTGTGCCTCCGCGTCGTCGTTATTTGACACCTGATGACACACACGATCTCTGCGTTGTTTGTTTGGGCAAAGAGCACTCACGCGATGTCCTTGAGGGGGCAATCCACGTTCATTGCGAGTGTATTTTAATGAAAATCTCCTGGACCTATATGTTTGGTTGGTTCTATGGCTTCATAGTGACCACCTTGCTGATGGTCTGGACTAGAGGCTTCTTTAAGTCGCCTCTTGAACGGGGCTCCGGCGCGGGAGCCATGGTGGGTGAGTATGATCCATTCTATATATAGATATATATGTATTTAATTTGCTGTTGGTTATGTGTGTATAATCCTTCTGTGAGATTCCCACATCTTTGGTAGTCTTTCAGGTGGAAACAACCAAATGTTAAGGTGATAGGATTATCTAGAATCCCTAGCAATTATATTCAAGTACCCTTTTGGTCAGCAGATGGTTCTTGATGGCCTACTGCCGCTCCCACGCTATAGGTGACGAAGTAACGTTCAGGAGATACTATTTACATATTATTGAGATCGGAAAGAATTATCTCTATGATAATTAAGCTCTTTGTAGAGAAAGGAGAATAGTCTACTTGGAGTGGAAGTTTGGTCGAGGCAGACTATAATTTCTTACACTACCCTAAACCTATCCGACAGTGTTAAAAAAAGAAAATGTGAGATAAGAACACATTTTCTGAAGCAACCGTCCTATTTTAGCCTGCTTCCACGAGTCCTGCACTCCAAAGTTTACAATATCAGAAAAGTCGTACATATAGAGCTGGTTATGTGATGCAAATGTCAAAATGTATTAGCAACAAACAAATTACTAACTAACAAATTAGTACAAAATTAACATTGGCATATATACTCATTTAAAATGTTTGGTCCTACAACAAAATTAACCAAATATACAGTATTGATGACTCATTCTGCAATACACAAGTTTTGATCCAATCAGATGCTCACTAGAATGAGAATATCCAGCTCCCTCATACTACCTTCAACCAACTAGTGTGACAGCCTACTGACTATTAAAAAAGACACAATCCCTTCAGTATTTTCCACCCAAACTTCCTATTTCAAAAGGAAATACATCAACGGGGAAAAAATGCACTCGCCAAGCTATTTCGTGGGGTCTTAAATACTGACCCTAACAATGTGTCTAGCAGCTTTTTAAAAATGTGCACATCAAACATTCGGGAATGAAAAGAACAGTTTCAAAGAGCAAAGAGGGACCCTTTGAGGTGAGGTTTTGGGGGGCATTAAAATGACATTTGTGTAATCTTGGCCTGATTCTTGATAGAAGGCTGAAATTGAGAACGGCTTTGCATGAAGGCACAGAGGGACAGCTTTCAAAGACACATGGTGAACCACAGGGAATTAAAAGCTCTCCATGCACATGTGGCAATAGTCAGAGACGAAATACTCACTGCCTCCTCATGTGGAAATGGTGCTTCATTATCAGCAGAGGGGAAACGGTCTCTTCAATGAACACACACTACACACTTCTGTTGTCTGCAAACCCTCACAGATTCCACTCAGCAATCTGAAGAGAGAAGGAGAAAGAAAGAGAAACAAGCAGATGAAATGACAAAACATCTATTCTTGTTTGTATTTTTTACTCCACTTTCTTATTTCACCCTTGCAGTGTCAAGGGAAAACTCTGTCTGTTCACTGAAAACATTCCCAGGCTAGCATGGCTGTATAATGTGGCAAGGATGTTATGTGTCCCGTTTCTAGTTCCCAAGTAAAAACTATTTTTCCCACATGCAAGATAATCAGCCTGTGAAGTGTTTCCAGGCTGGAAAGAAAGAGACAGCAGGGAGAAAGAGGAAAATGAAGCTGGCATTAAGGTTTAATTAGCAATGTATATCTTCCAGGTATCCTCTAACGGTTTGGGGAATGTGTGATGGGTTAAAGCTGAGAGACAATGAGTCACTGTAATAGACTGTGCAAGACAGTCTAGAGGGAACCTCATGCTCACTGTTTACCCTCATTCATTTCATATGATCCCTGTCTCTCCTCAATGCTCTAATTGATCTAAGGCACATTAAAAAGGCTCAGCTATGCAAGAAAGAACAGTAGATGGTTTTTATCAGTAGAAAAAATGAACAGATAATGACACAAGAAAAAAAAAAAAAGATGATAAGAAAAGAAGAAAAATTATGTAGCCTTAACCCTACTGTAGTCTGCAGGGCATTTCTGGGGAAGAACGTTCTTTGAAAATGTTATATGTCACTTTTGATTGAAAATTTTGTAAAAAAAAAAATACAGCTTTTCCATCACAGGAATAAATTATATTTTAAAATGTATTAAAATAGAAAACAGTTATTTTAATTAGTAATAATACTAATAACAATACTACTACTACTACTACTAATAATAATAATAATAATTTGATAGTTTGATCAAGTTCATATTCTTTTTTTAAATAATAAATAAACAGTACAAAATCAGATTAACAGATAAATGGGGGTAAATGTATTTATTGTGCTGGATGTGTGATTTCTTTGAAATAAATAGGACACATTTTGCTGAATATGTTTCTCAATGTTCTTTAGAACTTTGTCCTCTACAAAGTGTTGCTCCATCTAGAATAATTTAAATCCAATAACAATAATAAAAAATCAATCAATCAATCAATCAATCCTTAAAGGTAGGGTATGTAATTTTTCAAAAACACTTTAGAAAACTGATTCAGGCCGAATAGCAAAACAAACTTGTAGCTTATCAGCAATAAGGGGCGTGTCTACTCGTGATGTGGAGGAGAGAGCTTTCAGTGCATAGGACGGACATTAGCTGAGCCGAGCGACAGAAAGATAGAGATGGCGGATAAAAAACAAAAGAGGAAAACGTCTGCGGAATGATAAGGCAAGAAGTAGGACCCGTGTAAATATCGAATCAGCTTTCCAGCGCTGGAGAGAACTCAAGGAGCGGAGGCCTGCGATTGGACGCCGAGGTTGCTTTGTTTCTTCTCAATAGGTCAAAATGGAAAAAAAAATCATATAAAAAAATAACCCGAAGATCACAGGTGAGTGCAATAGGCATGAAGTGAAGTCAAAGTTTAAGCAGCAAGATTCTGAACTCCTATTGGTTTGCGACTGCAGCTATAGCCAGAATAATTAGATCACAACTTCTCCATTGTTTCAAAAAAGCAACAGCAATCAGAGAATATAGGTCACCATAGACATTTGTGCTGCCACCGAGTTCACTCTAAACATGATTATGAACTCAAAACTCCAGGAAAACAATTAAGAATTCATGTGCTAGTGCTCATTTGGGTGTAGAGGCTGGCACAGCATTGAGATGTCAGTGTGTGTCTGTGCACAGGGCTTTGCAGCCAATCGAGGGAACACTTGAGTCCCCTTGAGTGTTTGTAAGAGGCAGTATTTTGCATCATTACTGTTGAATTAATATCTTATTCTTCTCTTATTTTCCTGATTATTTTGACCAAATTTAGCACAGGGTTTCAGTCCTCCTACTACATAGTGTAGCATGAGAGTGAGAGAGGGAATAAAATGTATTATCGTCTGCCCTTCTTGGTTCTGACCTCTAAAATTTAGCCAGTTCATTTTTCACTTTTCTCCATACAGAGTGTCCTTAACTTGCAGACTTTGATAAAGGACAAACTGCTTCCTTTCTCATTCCTCTCCTGCTTACGCATACCACGGTTCACAAACTGTGCACATCTGCTGATGATTTCTAATCTTTTACAGCCTCAGCTTTAAATACAGTTACTGGTACTTCCCTAATTCTATTTAGCGGATCAGCGGATCCTTTTGGGTAATGAGAAGCAAGAAACAGCCCAGAACCACTTACCTAGTCTCACATTTTCATAAAGACTGAAAATGAGGTTGACATTTATCTGTCCCATTGGTAAACAACCTAGACTTGAAATATGGCTAAAATGTACAAGTAGATCTGTTTTGTAAATAATGGCAATATATATTTGTAATGATGTACGTTATGATTAAGAGGAATGCAAATATCACTGCAAAAGTATTTTTGTATGTGCATTTTTGTCTTGATTTCCAGTATTTATATCTATCTATCCATCCATCCATCCATCCATCTCTCTCTTGCTCTCTCTCTCTACTGATGTATTGCACTTCTAGTGTTGAAAATTTAACAACCAAATGCCACCATTTTGCCCTTGGCATCATGACAGATGATACTGGCACAAATATCAAAACATGAAAGAAAAAACAAAGAGTTTCTCTTGTTCTATTTTTGTAACTATATACTGTATTTATGCTGAAGGAGTGATAATGATTAAGTGCTCCTCTTACATAAGAGAGAAAAAAACAAAGCGAACAAGAGACCAGGGAGGCCAAACAGTCTCTGTCAGACACTAAAAGTCAGTGTCCTTCTGACCTCTGCATATTAACACTGTACTTGCTTTCATCACTAACCCACAGCCAATGCAGTAATGACACAAGTGGCCGTGATAATGTAGTATTCATGGAGATCAAGGTGGTTGTATCCCTCCTCTAGGACCTCTGCTGCCGGGGAGAAGCGATCAGTTCGGGTCACCTGCCGCTGCAGCTTTTTATGCTAATGTGATCAATAGCTCTGCTCTGTTTCAACTCGCTTTCGTTTTGCAGGGCAGCGAGGAACTAATTAGGGGTCTGCTAAACTATAGGGATTTCCCAGAAGGCTGAGCAGGATATAGCAATTGTTATTGGGGGAAATGGGTGAACTGCTGACTATTGCACACCACGATGCACCATGTATGAATTTAATGTTCAGTATTATGAGTATACACTATATACAGTTCAGTGTATGTAGTGTACAGTGTACACTATATACAGTACAGTTAGTTTATCTGGGCCACCATACAGAGAAAATGGACAAAGGGGGGAAGGGGTATTAAAAATGGGAACACGGATAGCAGCAAGTCACAAGAACAACGTAATATTTATTATTTCTCGTCAATGCCATTTTCAAAGTACAAGCAAGAAGGGTTCAGGTCAAAACTCTAGCTGAAGATAAATGGCCCATCATATTTAGGTATAGTATGCAGTTTTTGGGAGGTAAAACGTGCTTCAAAATTACCAGAAACCCTGCTTTTAAGAACATTTTTACATTCCTTAGAGTACTTATGGTGTTATGACATGCACATATTGATTTTAATATTAATGCTCCTTCGCCATCAGCCAATTAGTACCCTCTCTGACCTTGTCTTTCTGATTGATTGTCCACTTTGTTGGGACAACCAAGTTAAGGGAAGGTAGGTAATTGAATTTGCTGGGTGCATCTAAGTCTTCTCAAAAGAAAGCTTCTGTTGTATGCAACCTTCAGATGCACCTAGATTTCCCACCATCATCGCAAATGTGATTGTAGCAAGTTATTTGTTCAGATAAAACACAAATAAATCCATTAGAGGGTTTAATAAGAGGCTTAGACTGGTGTAGGGATTTCTAAATATGAACGGACACTGATATCAGCCATCACGAGGTTTGCTAATCACCCAGCACATGAGTCCAATATTCTGGGTAGATTTCCTGTCAGCCTTGTCTCATCTACTCGGAGGAGTGATTATGGACTGATCCAATCAAGAAACAACAAATGCAACGAGGGCTTTCCCGAAACGACGTCATCCAAACGTCACCTCAGCGACCAATCCGAAAGCTCCGGGGTTCCCTCAGCAGCCATCCAGGAAGCCCGTGTCAGCAACGACATCATCTCAGCTTTTCAGCTGTCAACCAAGCAGAACACAAGTAAACTAATCAAATCTTATCTCTGCTGAACTGGTGTAGAGCTACTTGAAGCAGTAAACAGAAGCTAAAATTCTCTGCTTTGTGAATTCTCTCAAAAGAATTTAAATAACTCGTGAAAACGAGTTAAGAACTTTGAAAATTCATGCAACTCCGTCAACTCTCATTCTAAAGAAACTGTATGTTTGTGTGTATGTGTGTTTTAGCGTAGTTTTGATGTATTCTAGAGTAGCCAATAAAATTCATGTTTCATTTATAAAGAATCATTGGTTTGGTGTCATATGATTTCAAGGTTAAAACTTTTGCCAAGATCAATGTTACCTCTCTAAGAGCTTACAAATTATCAAAGAACGTATTTATCCGTGGCCAGGAGAATACATAGTCAATTTGTTAAAATATACTGAGGTCACGGCTCGCTGGACGATCCTTGATTTAAAGTGTAACATAACAAATTTGAAATCGGTTTAATCAGGTGAACTTCGGATTTTCAGATCCGAGTCCTATCAAAACCTGAATGAATTAATAATAATTCATTCCCTTACAAATTTAAGTAATCAAGTCATTACACTGGATTGAGGATAAAACAATGATCAAGACAATAATATAAGGTATACATCAAAATCCATAAAGTTCATTAATCGCTAATCACAGAATCAAGTTGTTCCCTTTTCCTACCTAAATTTGATGAAAAATATATATTCTTCATTAGCATAAAAATAATGTTATATATATGTATATGTTTATTCAAGGTGAAGTGGATAATGGTAGTCTGTAAGTACGCATGTATGTGTGCTCAAACAGATATATTTATGCCTTTTACCATTATCCA